GCCGTTGTATATTAATGTTATCCTAATTCTTTAATTAGGATAACAAAAATGCTAGACATTTTTTTAAATTCTTTTAAATTCAGAATTAAGAAAACGACATACTTAATTTGAACCAAAATATTACTAGCTAACAAAGGATGATGGTGCTCAATACTAATGTCAGTGAATGGTGTTAATCGTTTTACTTGATATTAGAAACCGGTTTGGCTAAAAAATTTAACATTAGCCATTAAGAAGCTAGCATAAGTTAGTGCTAGTTTAGGAGAGCGTCTCGGTCCGTCGGTTTGTAACTAAAGGTGTTTTTAGACAGTATAAGGAGTTTGCTTCTGTTTTTATAATGCCATTAGAAAATAACCTCATCCTTATTTTATGCATTTGTTCGCTAGATAAACCAGACAGACTCAAAGCAGATACAAAGTTATCGCAAAGTCTGCCGGGATTTATCTAAACATCACCTCAAAGCTTTGAGGAACGTATATATAAATTAACAAAATCATTTCGTATCTATTAAAGTAGTTTGGGATTTTTTAAATGTCTTTAGTTCTTTTTTTCCTCACAAGTTTCAAGCTCTTTGAAAGCACTAAAATATAATCCATTCAGGTATAAAATGGCACCAGCTAAACATATATTAGCATATTTTTACCAACAGCCTGCAGCAAGGAGACAATTTCTTCCCATTTATTTAGTTGTAGCCAGAGAAATATTAAAGAAACCTCAACGTGAAAGGCATGAAAGAGATTCATTTTGTCCTAACAAGTTATTTCCTAGATAACAAAGCCTCCACAAAACCGATAGAGACAGTGATTTAAATTCCTGACTGTTATTGCTAATCTCATTTTAGCTTGATTTGTTTTTGGTTAACCCTCTGTGGTCAAACAGCAGAGATGTTAATAAGTCATTTGGCTGTTTTTCTCTCTCTTAAATCTGTGTCAATATGCTCATTGTTAAAACAAATTCTGTTTGTAAGGACATATGAATTAGGATGCAAGAAACTTATTTTGGAATATGACATGCACAATGGCCCAGTTAGCATTGTTACCAAGATGCCACTTTTTGATGCAGATTTTATATTCGATTAAAACAAAACAAAAAAATCTCATTGTGGGATTGCTCTACCACAACAGAGCAAGAGTTTATGCACCTCATAACCACCAAATTTCCAACTTGTATTGTAAAGCAATAAATTTCAGAGCGTTACGATAAAACAAAGTGGTGCTCAAAAAGCAAGAAATTTTAGCGAGAGCACTGGCATCGATTTATTTAACAGAGGAGCATAAATTAAGCAGCTTGGCTTCTTCGGAAGGCGATCCGCGGCGCAGCTCAATGCTAACTCGGCGCACACGGCGCGCATAATAAAGTGGATATTGAGTGGATATTTTCTTGATTAAACGCTCGCTTACAAGCAGCCAACATCCACCTACATGCATCAATACTTTTCATTCCGCAACCGGCTCGTAATCCTCTGATGATTTTTTGCCGTCTGGCCTCTGGAGCTCCGGCTAAACAAGGCAAATTAACATAACTCAGCATCTCAGAGACAGTGCAGCCCCGGGCCCATTTAGGATGCAGGTTCTCTTGCCTGTATCCCCTGGTTGGGCTCTGCACATCCTAGTGGAGCCAGGCTGCGGGTCGCTCGCGTCCTTGAGGCTGCTCAGAAGATGTCCTAATCGTCGGTGAGGCGGTCCAGTGTGGAGCTGGCACCTGCCCTGGGGGGACAGCATGATCCCCTCCCCACTACCCACCCCACCGACAACCACCAGACAGTTCCAAGCCAGGGCTCATGAGAGATTGAGACAGCCGGGGGTAATGAAAGACAACAGCCCTGCCTGCCAGACGAACTGCTGGCATGGAAAAGGGCCACAATGGGAGAGAGTCCATGCCAGCTGTGGCTCTTTGACATGCTGCACTCTGCTACCTGCTGCATCAGAGTTGTACTTCATTTGAAGACTGTCATTTCTGTTCCAGGCTAACAAAGAAATTTTCTTTTAGGGCGGGGTTTGGGGGGGGGGGAAGAAAAAAAAAAACACAAATAAAATTGACCAAATCTAAAATGCTGATTTGATTTTTTTCCCCCATCTCAGCTCAACTCTCAAGCACAACAAACAATGGGCCTGGTAGGTGTGGACTGAAAGTTTTATCATGATAATTTGAGATGCTATTGTGATAACAAGAAAAGTGATGATAAGAAATATTTACAGATTATTTTTTAGGTAACTCTATGGTTCTGACTGCACTGCACAGCAATTATTACCCCACAAACACAAACACTGCTCTTAAAAAGCCCATTTGTAACAAGCTTCTTTAGAACATCAGACACATAAAGAAGTGTGACTTTATCACTAAATTGCACACAATAACTTCATTTAATCATATTTTCAAATGTATTAATTCTCATCGATAAACCTTTATTGAAAAAATGAAAGCATAAAAAAAATTGAGCTTGTAAGATGACAAAATCTGAATAAATTGACTTGGTTATAGTGGATTTACTCTTTTATTTGTCACCCATAACTACGCTGCTGTGATGGAACAGTTCCATCAACAAAATAAAATGTAGGTATTATTAATTTAGTGCTGTGCGTTCCAGCAAAGGCAAAATAACGCAGAAAAAAACAATAAAAAACTGAATTATAAAACAGACTCATTGTCATAGCAACTGACTGACAACAGCTCCACTAGCATATCAGGATTCAACACAGAAAAAAAAAAAACATGAAAATATTTACCACACAAAAAACCGAACATTCAATCCTTTACGGTATTACGCTTTCAGACTTGATGTTTATTTTGCGGTAATTAATAAGTGATCGTTTGATCACAGCGGTGGTTGATTAGCTAATTGAAAAACCTGCTCTGGGCCACCTTTTTTTTTCTTGTTGTTTTTAAACTTAGCCAAAAACACATCAAATTCCACAGACCATCTACATGCTACGATTGTCAAAGTCAAGCTAGCACAGCTGACCTACTTCCCTCTGCCTCGCTATTTTTTTAAGTCAACTTTTTTTCTGACCTGTGAAATGTGACGCACTTTGTCCGTGTCATCTAGTTGCTACATGTTGGCAATTTTTATTTTACGTATCACAAGTACATTCACGATTTAGTGAGTCATGTTGACAAACCTAACAGCTAAAACCAAAGGGTGTCGTCACCATCAGGCAGTTTTCTGACATCTTTTGGGATCTTGCATGCATGAGCGAAATCACGTTGAACACAAGTTCTCCTGTAAGACACTGAAAACGACCTCTGACCTATACTCTACGTTTTATTTATTTATTTATTTTTTAATTTCAGGAATTAATCGACACGTGTTGTTTGGTTAGCTTGTTCCCCGTGAGGTGTGAAGGATGCGACGTGCAGAGCAAGGAAGAATAATTGGTATATTTCAAAGTCAGAGGTAAGTGACACCAATCTTACCCTTCATCTACCCCCTGATTTCCTCCTCAACGCTAGAGAGAACCTGCTTCTCCTCTTAGTTAGCCCATGAATATGCTAATTAGACGCCAGCGTGGCACTGCAGGATTAGCAGGAGTGTGACAGGATACAGAATATAAATATATGTACTACACAGGCGTTAACCATGTGTTCCCTGTCAACGCAGTGAGTGGGGAATGTTCATGTCTTTGCATGACACACGCTACTTTAGCTGCTCAGAGACCTCTTCCCTCTCCCCTCCCATCAGCCCCCCGGCCCCGCTTCCGGCTCGGTGCACTTAAAGAGCACGTGAGCGCGGAGCGTTCGCTCATGTCGACGACCTTCACAGCAGGTGGATGAACTCCCAGGTGTGTCCCAGTTTTAGAGTGAGGATCACAGGCAGGTGGGTACGGCGCCGCGGCTCGATCTGTCCAGATTAATGAGCTTTTTCCTCGCTCACATCAGCTTTGCTTGGGCTTCGGCCCGAGCCAGGCTGGAAACAGGGACAAAGCCCTGGCAGGCGCTCACTAGATTCATTTATATCGTCGCACAAATGTGCCATTCTGTAAAGCCATGCCAGCTCCGTATAAAAATTTAGATAGGGGAGAGGATTGATGTATTGTTTATCTTGTTATAAAACCGACTTTGTTTTTTCTTTTCTCCCCACTGCAGATAATAATTATTCCATCAACAACAACAACAACGACGACGAAAGAAAAAAAAGGATTTCCCTGGCCAGGTTTTAACATGAAGAGATACAAACGGGAGTTTTTAGAAAATAAACGTTATGACACTCTGCGTTTACGTGTCCATTAAAATCAGCCAAGTAAGTTACAAGGACGGGACAATCCTGGTACTGGACAGCGCATGAATTTAACACCCTCCAGTTTTCGTTCCCACGACCTAAAGCCACAGAAAATCCACCCAGGTTCTTCCACGGAGTGTGGAGAAACAGAGAGAGAGAGGAAGCGAGGACGAAGAGGCAACCAGACCCGGCTTTGGGATAAACAAAAGTTGACCTCTGTGACCTCCCTCATTAGCAGCCCACGGTGGAAGATGGAGCGGGGACGACGAGCGCGGCGGCGTGTGGGTTGGTGAGCGACTACAGAAAGCAGCACAAGTCGCGGATGAGACAAAGGAGAACGATAAAACGAACCCTCTCGCGACCCCGCAAGCAGAGAGGTGCTGGATTTACGTGGCCATTATCTCGGCTCCCCCGCTCCGCACCGAGGCCGACATTAAATATTCCTCGGCTCATCTTTGTTTGGAGATAAGAACTCAATAAAATATCCGCTGTTAACGGAGGGAATGCCGTTAATGGCTTTATTTGTTTTCCTTATCGATAGTTTTCAGCTAAACGTAAATGTAGGAGTTAAATAAATCTTTAAAAAAAAATAAAATAAAAGGAACTCTAGGCTCATTACATATATATGTCATAGCAGCACATTTGACCAGTATAAAAACTGTGGGAACTAACAGTTTCTGTGAACTTTTGGGAAAGTTTGATGTTTTTGGCCGGTGAAGCAACAAACTAATTAGGACAGTAAAAAAAACAAAAAAAACACCACAACACCACAGTGATTACTGACCTCTCTGTCCAGTCCGGCGGCCACGGTAACGATGTCTCCCGTTTCGCTGTTGATGGTAAACATATTGGGGATGGGACTGTGGGGGGTCTGCGAGAGGATCCGGTAGCGCACCATGCCGTTGGCCGTGGTGGAGTCGTCCGAATCCGTGGCTGTCACTTGCATCACAGACGAGCCTGGAGGGCAAAAGAGAGACGAGTGAGACACGGGAGGCGGCGCGTAACGGACCGCAGCCCCTTACAGATGCACTTCTGAGGACTTTTTTTTTGGTAATAGACCGACATAAAGCAGCGCACAATTGTTAAACCTAATTAAAAGCATAAAGAGAAAGTTAGAGTCGTAAAACCGTGGGCAGCGTTTGTGTTCAACCAGCTGAATTAATACTTTGTAGAGCCACTTCCTGTGGTGTGGCTCCATCAGCTTTACACAAATAGATTTATTTTTGTCTACTCATTTATGTAAAGTAGTCCAAGCTTAATGAACTCTTGAAGCCGTTTTGGTTTAGAAATCAGTTTGTTCGAGTGGGTTTGTTTTTAATATTCACGCCACAACCTTGAGTCGCGTTTCCGCCATCATGACGGCGAATCCCTCGCTGGTCTCAGAGGGTCTTCCTGGTTAGATAAAGGTGCAAATAAATCGGAGGTGTTGTCGAGCTGGAAGGAGAGCGCCTGCCTCAGTCTTTGTTTCGTTGGCAACAAGTCGGACTTCAGACCTGCATCGGTAAAAGTCACTTCTACCTGGGTAATACTCGGTGTCAGTGCTGAATATGTTACAAAGTTGTAACATATTTATAAGGCTTGAGGTTGTCTTGTTACATTGTCATTAGCAAATTTGACCTCGGGGCGCAGAAAAAACTGTATTGTGGGGTTCCTCAAGGGTCCATTCTCGGGCCTCTTTTGTTTGACGTCTTTTTCAGTGTTCAACTTTGTATTGCTCACACATAAAAATCCCCTTGAAGTTCTGTGGACGTAACAGGACAAAATGAAATGTCTGCAGACGGAGTTAGGCCAGTCAAAAAGTTGCCCAAAAAGAAATTGGCGGTATCGCTCTTCACCCCGGCCGCTTCACGCTTGCCAGGTAAAAACTGCAATTAAAAAAAAAAAAAAAAAAAAAAAGCACAATGTTCCTCTCGCTCGTTTTTGCACGCCTGCATTTCAAACTAAACAAAACGCGGCTTTGTAAGCTCGTTATTATTATTAATGAATTTGTCGAAAATATCAAAAGGCGACGGCGAGGTGACTCGTTTCGAGCGTCTTGAAACGGGTCCATCAGAGTTCCCAAATTGCTGTGACATTTTCCGTTCCGGATAGCGACTTTTTAAGAGAGACGGAGCTGGTTCCAGAACAGAGCACAAACACAAAGCCTATTAAATAAGCTCCTATTTTAAGCTGCGCTGCTTATTTGTCCTCTGTACATTTCAAGCTAAGAGCGGAAAGTTTCCACCTCTGCAGAGGCCATTTAAGAAATGAGCAGCACTGGGTCTCCCAGCGTTCCCCCCCCCATCCATTATTTCAGCCCTCGGCAGCACTGTGGCCGCCTCTAATGCTTTGATACTGTCTCCCCATTTGTCTTAGCATCACAGATAAACTCTGTCATTTAAGGCAGGCGGCAGAGAGACACAGAGAATGTTTGCCACCGTTTCTCTGTGTGTGCCGACTGGATCTATGTACATCTAAATGCATTTCCAGACACGTCTAAGCATTTGCATGCATGCGTGTGCTTGTTTGTGTCATCTAGCAGGGTGAAGTGGGGGGAGGAGGGGTCCGAGTCCCAGAGCAGAATTATTGATTTGCACGAGTTTGTCAGCTGGGCTCGCAAATGCAACCAGGCAATTAGGAGCACTTTGTGCTGGAAAGAGGAGAGATCACCTCGCCTCTCTCACAGGGTTCTGTGAAAATGTCACTTTCCATCAGGCGGCCATTTACAGGCTGCTGCTGCTGAGAGGGAAAGGAGTGTCAGTTCACAGGAGGAGGAGAGGGAAGTGGAGAGGCAGATTAAATACAAAAGGAAGGCCGGAAAGTACAAAGAAATGATAAAAAAACAACAAACACACACACACACACACACACGCATACAGTATATATAAAAAAAACACCTTTAGCTTCAGAAATATTCAGAATTACGACCTACGTTGGATTTCTACTGGGATTTTATGTCGCAGACCTAGAAAATGGTGGGTAAATGTGAAAAGGGAGGAAAATGATACAGTATTTGAACAATGCTTCACTTCATGAGTGAATGGCTATTTATTCAAATGTTTGTAATTTGACTCCATCCATCTTCTCATCAACTTTAACCCACTCCTCCGTCCCTGCTGAAGAAAACCTTCATCCCCACAGCTTGATGCCTTCGCTGTGAACGCGTCTCTAACAATGAGGCATTCAGGCTGTTGTGCACGACTCCAGGCCAAAACAGTGTCCTCATCTGACTACAGCATCTTCTTTTACTGCAAGACTACAAACAAAGTTACTTTTGGCTTTCTTTCAACAACAGCTTTAGATTTGCTTTCACAACAACAGCAGCTGTGTTGAGGACCGGAGCGTTCCTCCGGAGTTAGCGTGGGCCTCCTGTCTGCGTCTCTGATTAATGCCTCCCCTTAGGTAGATAAAGTCTAATGCATAATTAGGTAAGTTCTGAATGTAAATGCATATTTATAGATTTAGAACACTGATTACAAATATGAGTTGCGCTTTTGAGATTGGTATTAACAGATTTTCAGCGTTAAAATGACGACATGTTCCCGTAAATTCTGCCAATTAGTGTTAATGTTTGCAGCTTCACTTAAAAACACGGAAAAAGTCCAAAGGGCTGTTTCTACGTTTGCAATGTGTTTTAAAAGTGACCAAAGGAGAAGGAAGAACGTTGTACGTTATACGTTAATTTTAGAATTTCTAAGTTTTTCTTAGAAATTCTGAAACTCATTTTATCTTTAAGTAAGGCACGTGTGTCAAACTCAAGGCCCGCGGGCCACCTGCGTCCCGCCGTAATGTTTCATGTGGCCCAGAAGGACACATAAATAGAACCTTGGAAATAAGTGGTGTATGCTTTAATAATATTTTATCAATCACAGTTTTCAACGGAAGAGGATTGGGACAACAGAGGAAAAAAGTTCTGAATCTTTTTCTTGCGGTTTTGATTTTTTTTCTCAGAATTATTTTTATTTTTTGAGAATTTACCAGAACTGTTTTGACTCAAAAGTAAGAATTCTGAGAAAAAAAGTGAAAATTCTGGGAAAAAAGTCAGATTTGTGACTATTTTTCTCAAAAGTAAAGCCAAATTAATTTTTATTTTCCCAGTGGCAACAATCTTTTATATCTATTCTGCCAAATCACATTAACGTGAAATGATGTTCGGTATTATTTAACTTTAAGAAGTACTCATCGAGTGCAGAGGCGACTATTTATTTGCGTTTTAGAGGTTTGTTAATGGATTATATCAACATATTTCACCACAAACGGCCCTTTGAGGACATTCACAACTTTGATCTGGCCCAAAATAAAAATGAGTTCGACACCCTCTGAAGTAAGGCACACAAAAATCAGCTGAAGCCATCGGGGCTGATTAAGTTGGCTGCGTCACATCAATAGCAATCAAAGTCAATCACCAAAAAAAAAAAAAAATAAAAAAATCACACCGGAACGCACAAGTCCCGTCTCACTCCACGACCTTTCAAATCAACCAGCGGGAAAAGATGCAGAGCAGCCGGCGGACTCGTCACAGACTCCGCGGCTCCCTGCGGGTCTGAGCGCTTAGCTGGGGTCTCACTTCCTGTAATTGGGTTTCGGTGGCACCATCATTCCCTGCGACAGCCTGTGCGGACAGGATAATTGTGGCCTCAAATTCTATTTCAAACTTCATTAAGTTTCAAAGCAGGATTTGTCACTTTGACCAGCGAGCACGAAAAGGAAGGAGGTCCGAGGGAAGGAGGGAAAAAAGGAAAACAATTACAGAACACGGGGCTGTGTCGATATATAATGAACCTCTTCCAGACCTGTGGGTTAGCATGGGGAAACGTGAGCGTGTGTGTGTGTGTGTAAGGAGGCGGGATGAGCCGGACCACATGTTGGTGCCGCTGCCCTTCGTTTCGACAAAGAGGATGCTGGGATGCGATAATAGGCCGCTCTCAGGTCCACGGGAGGCGAACGCCGCGCATATAAGGGTAAACTGAGCCTGCTTAATTCCGATTCAATTTGAGCACTAATTCCAAATCCTAATTGCTTTTCCACCAAAACTGTTGGACCAGAAAATTTGTCGCCGTTCGTACATTGTTGGCCGTTTTGCCCACGCGACTTCTGATCGCCGGCGAAGTCTCGCCGCTGTCGAAATTCTAATCAGTCTGAGTCAACATCTGCCCCCGAATTACGGAGGAGACGTAGAAGAAAGTGGATATAAATAGTAAGAGAGAACGAATTGGGAGATAGACTGGTTGTAAGACAAAAAAAAAAAAAAGAGAAAAATCAGTGGAGGAAATTGCATAGAGGGGGAAAGAAAGTGAAGAAAGGTCATAGTATGGGGAGGGTTTATAAGGACCATTAAAAGGAGAAGTGCAAGGGGAAGTCAGGGAGTGAGAGGGCATGGGAACGAGAGCATGAGTGGATAATGCTTCTCATCAGTGGGGAGAAGATAAAAGGTTTCTCTCGGAGCAAAAAGAATGACCGTGTTCCAAGGAATAGGAGGGAAACGAGGTAAAGGCTGAGAGGTAAGGAAAGGCAGAAGGAACGGCTAAAACCCGAAACATCCCGGTGAAAGTGATAAGGAGGACATCGCTTTTCCACACCTGAGCCTGATGAGTTCCTCTGCAACAAGGCAGAGGTGAGACTGGTGCAAATAATCTTTTTGGGATTTTTTTTTTTAACTTTTTGTCGGAAGCATATCTCTCAAAAGGAACATGTCGACTTCTGTTCTGAACCAAAAGATGGGCGGCTGAACAATAGGCAGGAACGCACTCACCGACCGATTCATCACATTCAGCTATTCAGGTGTAAAAAAACTAGCAAACCGGTCAATAAAATGGCAGCAGCTCGTCACATTTAGCTATCTATATGTGGCAAAAAGACGGCACTCAACATTTTAATGGGGTAAAAAAGAGGATTTAAGTGGCTGTGAACATGAACGTTGGTCTTCCAGAACCTGATGATCCATAGGGCTTTTAACACACATCCACATCGAAAGTTAG